CTAATGTTTAAAGAGAAGAAAGAAACTTTACATTTTTTTTACTTTCTAATTTTCTGTTTTTTATTCTTTTACCTAATAACTTTATCAAATAATAGAAAAATTGATCTATCTTGGCAGCACATACTTTTTCATAATGAGTTTAAAACGTATAATTTGGCAGGCTTTAGAAAACGTTTTAAAATTAGCCTGTAATATTAGAAGGTATAACAATTTCAGGCTCATAAAAAGGAAATGAACATAATGGAGAACACAGAATCAAATGCAAACTATAAAAATACTTACCAATGTGTATTTTAATGACAAACATAATTTTCTGTGTTTAATTTTTCATTTTATTAATTGCGGAATCATTTTATTGTTCCTTACATCACACTTTAATCACCACAGATTTACATGGAAATTGTTTTACCAAAAACATAATTTCAAAGTGTCAAGAAGTTTAACAAGAAATGTAGTTGCCAAAGTTACTAATAGCTCTAAAATTATTTCAAATTAATTTAACACATTTTTCTATACTTACAAAATTAGAACTATTTTTACTAATCTTATTCATAAAAATGAAACCACACAATGTTTTTTTTTTCATTTAAATCACTAGAATTAAAACACTGTTTTCCCACACTACATTCAAAGTCCAATTCGTGCAAATTTTTCACCATATTGCCTGTAATAGCTCTGCTTAAGTTTCCTGACAACTCCTACTACCTTTTGTTAGAATTATTTTGTTCCCACAGCAGCTTATCTGCTTCCATAGGATTCCAAGATGTAGGCCTCAATCCTGCAAATACTTACATGCTTAACTTTAATAAAAAAATGCAACTAATTCATGTGCCTACAGTTAAGCACATGCCTGAGCATTTGCAGGTTCAGTGCCTCAATTGACTTTACTTCTCTCTTATGGTTATGGTCCCTAGCTGGGAAAGGTACAGGTTTCATCATAACATTTAAGAAAAGCCTTTTAGAACGGATTCATCTGTAAATCTCTGCTTCAGGATGCCATGCATTTATTTGTGTAGCTACCTTCTTAATCCATGTTTATACAAGCGATGACCAGTTTTGGTACCATTGAGCTTAAGCACTGGGAACATCCCATTTTTGACTACACAATGACTTACATTGTTGGCATGCAGGACATACTTTTTATTTGACTGGACGTATTACTTTTTTACACAACCTGCACTCAATCTATGGAGCTCATTGACAGGGGAAGTTGTGAAGGCTAAAATTATAACTGAGTTCAAAAAAGAATTAGATACATTTATGGAAGATAGATCCATCAATAGTTATAGAATTAGATACATTTATGGAAGATAGATCCATCAATGGTTATAAGCCAAGATGGTCAGAGGTGCAGCCCTATGCTCTGCCAGAAACTGGTATGACAGCAGATAGATCATGTGTTGTTCATTTGTTCTGAAGCATTTGGCTCAGGCCGATCTGAGGACAGGCATTGGTCTGATCCTGTATGGCAATTTTTTTGACTGTGGCTGAGTTCTATAACAGGAGTATGGTTTTGCTTTAGGGGCATTAGAGATATTAGGATATGTTATAAATGAATCCATGAAGTTTGCATGGTACACAAAGCTGTGATTGTAATCTAGTTTGAGAGGAATCCTGTGAAGTGACAGAAAATATGTGCCTTAATGAGAAATAGCTAAACAAGATAGGAGAAGACAATGATTGCTTCCTTCTGTTTCTAGCATATTCTTTTCAGAGCAAGATCCTTCGTGAAGAAAAGCAACAAGAAGAAAAATAGATGGAAACAAAAATTAAAAGGGATTTATATGGCAGCAGACAGAATGAATTACAGTAGAACCTCAGAGTTATGAACACCTCAGGAAGCTTATCTGTAATTGTCATGATCATGAGGGTTAGCCAGCATCCTGGGGACTAAGGGGTTAACTACGTCCCTTATCTAAACCAGGTGGCAAGCAGTCAATAGAAACGGTAGGTAGGAATTTCAAACTGGGACAAAGGAATTTTTGGGTTTTTCCCTCCTTGGTCCTGCGTAGTTTCTCTCCAGCTATTGAAGGGGTCAGGATGTCTCCCTCTAAGAAAATACTCTTCACAGTCTGTAAGTAGGATAAAGTTTAGATAAATCGGTTAGGTTTTATTGTTTTATGGGTTGGGAAACGGGATCTGGTCTGTGCATTTAAAAATGGGTTTTGCTCTCCTTTGTAACTAAATTCCTGGCCCTTGGTAAATTTCTCCTCCATAAGCAGGGCTCGACAAGTAGTGGCAAGCCCTGCTCACCAGCCGCGTGGTTCTGAGCTCTGTGCACGCGCGGATCGTTCTGCGCATGCGCATATCGCTCTGCACAGGCTCTTCCGAGGTGTAATCTACTCACCACAGGCGAATAGATTACATTATTTGTCGAGCCCTGTCCATGAGTATATTATTTTGTTACTGTTCCATCTAGTCATTATGCTTGCAACAGGAATATTGTGGTGATAATAAAAGTTCTTTCTCTTTTCTTTTTATTAACCTGGTATTGGTTAATTTTTGTGTCTTGGTTTGTATGTTAGGGGTGAGATTTCCCAAGTAGTCTCTCCCTGGTTGCTTTATTAATATTTGAGTGGTGGCAGCGGCGTTTTATTCCCAAAATCTAGGTTCTTAAGATATTGGGGGGAAGTTTTATACCAAAGCCCAGTAGATAAGGTTTTGGGGTACTTTTGGGGTACTGGGCCCCCACTTCTGCATTTATCGTGCCAGATTGGGAAAGGTGCCAGAGTGGGGAAGGAGCCATGACAGTAATTCTGAAATGTTTGTAACTTTGAACAAAATATGGTTGCTTTTTCAAAAGTCTACAACTGAACATTTACTTAATGTAGCTTTGAAACTTTACTATGCAGAAAAAAATGCTGCTTTCCTTTTTAGTATTTTATATTTAATACCACACTGTACTTTTTTTGTCTCTGCTTGTGATTATGAACTTTCAGTTCCAAATGAGGTATGTGGTTGACTCAGGCTATGTCTAGACTACATCGTTTTTTCAAAAAAAATCCTGCCCTTTTTTAGAAAAAAACTTAACCTGCATCCACACTGCAATCGTGCTCTTTCGAAAGAAGCTTCCAGTCCAGACGTAACCTCAGTTTATAACTCTGGTATTCATAACTCTGAGGTTCTACTGTAGTGCATTGTTTTTCAACTCAACATATGCAGATGGACAAAAAGAAAATAAATTTGTTCCCATTTGCTCACATTACAAAACTACAGTGAGCTTAAGGGCCACATTCTTCTCTTCACTAATGCAAGCAGAGAAGAATATAATAATCAAAATCCACTGGGAGCAGACTGAGAGGGGAGAAATGTCAGCTCTATATCCTACTGTTTGTGTCTCTGGAGCCACATAGAAGTTCCTTTGGTGCAGCAATGTGAGGCTTGTTCTTCATGGGTATTTGGAGACAAAGCAGGGAGGAATGGAGACAGGGATCAGCAATGCTGCTTACTGCTTTGCAAACCTCCCTGGGAATTCTGGGTGTGCAAGCAATTCAGGATTGTACTCTTAATTACTATCATAAGGACAGCTGTGAGGATTCCCTCCTCCCTCCTTCACTCCCCCCTCACCAGGAGAAAAGACAATCTTTAATCGCATTACTGTTTGACAAAAAAGGTTGCTTTAAATTCTGGCTGGAGTGCCCCAGTTCCAATAACTAGGCTCTACTGATCTGAGATGGTAGGGCTCAAGAGCACTATTGCCAGCTCCAAATGTTCACAATTCATGAGTCAACTGCAACCTTCAACTCTTCCCTTGCACCATGAGATTGCTTTAAAAATGAGATTTTCACAAAATAACACATTGAGGTCTCTTTATGTTTGCCCTGTGGTATAAAAGCAGTACTTCTAGCTGCAGTCTTGTTTTCTCTTTAGCTCACTCCTTGCTCACAGGTTTATCACAATATCTAGCTGTATTGTAACTCAATTCCAGCCGTGCGGATTACTAAAGATTACTCTCAAATTTCACACACTGCCTCAGTCATAGAGTAACAACGATCTGCATTCTCCGCTTGGGCACATCCAAAGCCAGCACTGCCTCGTACCCAGGCTGTTCCTGCTCGGGAGTCCCCAGATGCTATCACACCAGGGACAGTAGGGCATGCGAGATAGCATTAATTAGGATTAATAAACTTCCTGTTGCGCCCCACTGGGGTGAGTAGCGGTCGGGGACTCCCCACTCCCAGATCAGAGACAGATGGTGCGCACTGGGGGATTCCCTCTCAGCTGTTTTCAGAACGTTCGGGATTGTTCCGGGTGACGTCACGGCACGGAGGGCTCCCCGCTGGCTCAGGTGGCGAGGTGGGGGAGGGACGGAGAGGCGGAGTAGACGGCAGGCGGGGGTTCCTTGAAACTCCTCCGTGGCGTGGGTCGACGCCCCTTGAAACTCCTCCCTTTTCGCCTGGCGGGCGGCTTGGCCTGTGGGGGCCCGTGCCGCGGCGTTGGCCGGGCGCGCTGACTCTCGCGAGGTTTGGGCGCAGAGCATTGCGGCTCGGAGCGGCGCCATTTTGGGAGCGAGGCGAGTTGTGTGACTGCGTGTGGAGAAGCGGCAAAAGGAGCTTTCAAATCCGGGACCCCCCTGTTCTCTGCCTGCCGCCGCCGGGACCAGCCAGCCGGGGACGGCCCGG